CAAATGTCTTTCTAAAAATGTCAAACTATTCTTCTAAGCAAACAGAGATTGGCTCCAACTTGTCAGATGTGAATATGTTCTCCATCTTCTGTGACAGTAAATTAATAACCTTTGGATTTTGATGTTCAGACAAAACAAATGAAAATAATCAGTTGATAAAGGGATTTTAAAAAAAACTAATTAGTTCCAACCCTTGAAAATGTTTTTTCTCACTGTTAGAATAACTGAAATGGTCTACATTATGCTGTCATTTTTAATTCCATATTTTCCAGCAGTTGTGATATTATTACTGTTGAAGCACCACATCACTGTTGAAAGAGTCTCGAGGAAACACTGCTTCTTTTCAAACGCTGCCATTAACCAGCTCTCAATCTGTAATGAAATCCATTAGCTCGCTTTATTGGACACCCCATTTTTCTCCCTATTGCTTCCTTACTATCTCATCACAAACAGGACCTGTCTTTGGGCTTCATCATTCACTGTTTGAACACTCCTCCCTGGCCTGTGTTACACCATGCAGACACACACACACAGCAGGCTTGCTGTCTAAACTCCAGCTTTCTCAGCTGTCTGGAGGCTACCAGTTCTGCTCAGCCGTGGTGCTGCCACAGGTCCAACACAAACTCACACTTCAGGATCCTCTTTTGCAGCATCTCGCCAAAAGGGGAGAGACGTTCAAAAGGAGCATCCACTTGGCAGATGTCACTCAAGCCTGGCTCCACTTTCCTCCCTGTCTTTCCCATCAGTGTTAGCATGGGCTGCGGTGTTCAAGCTCATCTACTGAAACGTCCCATCAATGCTCACTCACTACAGCCTAGTGGCTGGGATGCTTTTTGCAAGTATTTCTGTCTGACACACTGTCCCAGAATCATAGTCAGCACAGTCAGAGAGATTACAGCCTTTTGTCACCTTGGCTGTCAATGCTTGGCTCTGGCTTACAGGAGATGGATATGTTCAACAGGTGAGCGGTCCAATTCAGAAGAGGGGGTGGAGGCTCCATAAAAAGAGCCATAATTTTTATGATAGACAGCTTGGATGCACATCAGTCCAATATGAATATGACCAGACCCATCAGTGAAGTCAGATCAGGATTGGCTGATGGGTGCAAGAATTCACAGAGGACACTATGAAGGTGGCTATTAGGGGAGACAGAGGGGATATTTTTATATTGTAATGAAGATGAGGACCAGGAGCTCCACCTGCAGAGAACTGTCATCAGTCTCAGAAATAGCTCGCTGTCAGCCATGCTTGATTTATGCTGCTAATCTTCTTCTGTCTATACCTCCTTTCTCTTGCCCCAGTAAGCAACCTCTGTCTTCTTCCTTTAACCGGGAGCAACCTGTCACTGCACTTGTCAATATGTTTGAGTGGCCGCCTAAATATATGTCCATCTGGCTTAACAGCTTATAAACCCCCACGCCTTCATAGTCTCACCCTGACACATTCTCAAAACCGCACTCTAGAAGGAAAGGAGAAAAAAGGGTTGAAGATTATGTCTCATTACTATGAAAAGATATCAGGCCGGCCAGGTCAAACAGCAGATAAAGGCCTCAGGGAGCCATGTGTAATACATTAACCTTCATTCCTGGGGCTGTCTGTCTTTATCTGGCCTTGATAAGCTCACTTCACAGTCCCTCAGCTTTACTAAATTATAACTGCACTGTGTTGTGTCACATTCAGTTTCCCCTCCATTTCACAAAAAGCATCCATCTGCCTCGCCAGCTAGCTCCAATGCACTGGACTGAATCGTAGGGGTAATTTGTGAGAAGTGGGATGCTGTGGCACTTACAGCCTCCTCAGCCTTTATTGCAGCCTCCCACTGTGAACTACTGTTCCCTTTACTGCAGATGTGTTTTTTGTTTGTTTAAGGGGCCTCCGAGGTTTTGATATTTTTATTACCTCTCACGGGTGATCCGTCAGGACCTAGAGCCCAGGTCCACCACCCGGCTGGTCCCTCTGCCTCCTTACAGCTGCCACACAGAAATACTTTTGTGGGAGAACTGGGGATAGCTGTCTGGACGTCACACAGATCTGCACTTTGGGATAATTTAAAAGCCCCCGATGGATCTTTTCTTTCTCCTTGTGCCTTTTCCCTGTCATCCTCATCCCAGATTACATGCTGAATCAATATTTTGTTGCATGAGCAAAATAAACCAAATATCCATTCTCCTCCTGTTTCTGGTATATAGAACCAAACTCTTTGTAGGGTTTCTCTAGATGCATTTTCAAGGTGAAAAAAAAATGGGGCTTTGCAAATATTTCTAATTCAAGCATTCATTTGTAAAAGGCCTTGGAAAAAATAATACTCCTTCACTGTGCAGGAGTCAGCTCTGATTCATGGGAACTGGCGGAAAAATTGGAGTGTTTCCTTATGCACATGAAATTAAGAGAAAATATAGCTACAAGTGAGGCGTTAAGTCTCTGAAGCTGTGGCTGCTTTGTAATATGAATTATAGTACAATGCTGATGTGGTGTCTATTGGTGTGGCAGAAGATGGTGTGGCCTGGGCTTTAGCATATAGTTCGGACTACTGCCAAGTATTTACATGTGTATATTGTATTTTCAAGGTAAGAATGCATCTTGATGGTATCCTGGTCAAAGGGGAGGTTGTATTGGATGTTTAGTTTAATGCTCAATGTCATACATTTTTGTTATTTTCTATTTTGCAATTTAACATTGAAGACATAACTATGAAATAACGCATGTAAACAAAGTAAAACATGCTTTACATTTGGCCCTGCGATGGACCGGCGACCTGTCCAGGGTGTACTCTGCCTTTCGCCCGATGCCGGCTGGGATTGGCTCCAGCCCCCCCATGACCCCGTTCAGGACTAAGCGGTATAGAAAATGGAATGGAATGGAATTCTTTACATTTTAGATTGTTCAAAAGTAGCCACCTTTTGCTTTGACACAAGCTTTTGTACACTCCTGGCTTTCTCTCAGCCAGCATCATCGAGGAGTCACCTGGACTGCTTTTCCAACAGTCTTGAAGAAATTCCCACATATGCTGAGCACTTGTTGGCTGTTTTCCTTCAGAGGTCCACCTCATCCCAAACCAGCTCAGCTGGGCTTAGGCCGGATGATTGTGGAGGCCAGGTCACCTGATGCAGCACACCTTCACTCTCCCTCTTGCTTAAATAGCCCTTACAGGGCCTGCAGATGTGTTTTGTGTCATTATCCTGCAGAAAACCAAATGATGGTCCTGCTAAGTGCAAACCAGAATGGATGTTGTGCTGCTGCTAAATGTTGTTGTAGCTCATGTCTTTCATGAGCAGAGCACCCTCACTGCAGCAAACCTCCTGCTCCACACTCCACGATGGAAACCATCCATGCAGATCCACAAAATCTCAGATTTTGTCTTATCTGAACAAAAGTACAGATTTCCACTGTTCTGATGTCCCTTCCTTGCGTTTCTTGGCTTAAGCAGTTCTCATCTTCTTCCCCAGCAATGGTTTCTTCACAGCAGGTTCACCATAAAGGCCAGATAAACACAGTCTCCTCTTAAAAAGTTGATGCTAAGATCTGTTTGCTACTTCTACAGATGTGGACTATAATCAGAAGTTTGGTTAAGTCTGAGCCTGGTAACTCTAAAGAACTTATGCTTTGCAGCAGAGGTAACTCTGTCCTTTCTTGGGGCATCCTCATGAGTTTCATCATAGCATGTGATGGTTTTTGCAAATGCATTAGAAGAAACTTTCAAAGATCTTGACATTTTCCTGCTTGACTGACCTTCGTGTGTTAATGTAATGAGGGACTGTTGTTCTTTATTAAGTTAAGCGGTTCATGCCATAATATGAATTACTACAGCAGTCAAACAGGGACTTTTGACGTATATCAACTCTACCTCGACACAACACAGCAAATGGCCTAAAACACATTAAGAATAAAATTTACTAGGTCAAGCCACACCGATTAACTGAAAACCATTCTAGGTGCCTATCTCAGGTTAAGCTATAATAGTGTATAATAGTGTGCAAAACTGTCATCAAGGCAACCAGTGTCTACTCAGAAGTATCTAAATTTAAAACATATCTGGTTGGTTTAATACATATTTGCATATTACATAATACCATGTGCTATTTCATTGTCTTAGTATTATTGTACAGTATATAAAATAACAAGAGGATGAGGTGTGTCCAAAGTGTTGATAAGCTCTGCACATGAAGTTTCCAATGTATTACTATACAATAATGGGCAAAAATTCCACTTTGTGATGTGACTTTTATCCAGAACTATAGATATTACCCAGACATAATGTGTACTGTGTAATGCGTATATGTGGGTGGCTAGAGTGGAGTGATAAACCCAGCCCTGCCCTTGGCCCCTAGCCCTGTAACCAGCAGCTGATTTATGGCCCCTGAAGCCCTGCATAGCCTCTTCCTCTTTGGCCCCTGATGCTTCCCAAGAAAGCCAGCAACACTCCCCTCAATCCATAGCTTTCATTTAGCTTAAAACAATGAATAAACAGCTAAAATGTGGGAAATGATGAAAGCTAAAAGATAAATATGTTTTATATAAATAAATGGTTTAAGTGAATAACTTAACTAGTTGAGCTAATCCCGGCATATTTATTTTATTATCAGCATTGAGTGATGTGCATTAAATAACTGTACGTATGTATGGAATACATCTGTACTGTAGAGTATACATATGTATTTAACATGTAGTCGTCAACCAGTTTAAAATGATTTCACTTTCATATCTGGAACATGATGGGTGGTGTCAGTGAAGAGATACTTTTGTTCATCTGACAGGAGTGTGAGGGTTCACTGAACCAAATAACTAGACAACACTACTCTCCTCTCTGAGCCTGTTCTATGCTGACCTGCAGGTTCTTGTGTGTGTCCATCATCCAGGAGGCCAGTTTCTTCTCAGAGGAGCCCGATACGCCCTTCAGACGGTCAGTGTCCCAGGTCAGGCACATGACAGGTTCAGGGTGGGCTTTGGCATGGCTCAGCTTGGACCTCTGGCTTACGTCCCACAGCAATAAAGAACCATCCTCATAACCAGCCAACAGGAGAGGTCCAGGACCCGAAACTGGCTGGAAGTGAGGGAGGATAATGAGAGAGAGGAGGAGCAACAGCAAAAAGGGAAGAGAGAACACAGAGAGCAGCATGAGGCAGAATGCAAGATGAGGGCTGTGTAGTAAAAAAGCCACAAACCGCTGCGTTGTGCTGGAAGCTGAGGGGAGCAGAGGTTATCATCCTGGAAGCTCCCACTGACACTCAGAGAGATGCTGTGGGCTCCATTCGTCAGTATGCTACACGCTCTCTTTCCAGCACGCCATTACACCACTTCTCACTTTGCTCCTCATCTATATTACTGAAGCACAGACCTCGTTTTTTTCATGTTCCAATTCATTATTTAGATTTTTTTTTTTTTACCTGTGCTTGATTATTTTACAGACCTCCTTCTTTATGCTTTGGTGCTGAAATTAGCTACATTTACTGCTCTACATGTTTACACATGTGCTCCATTTTGTGAAATTGCAATTTTATTTAACAAATAAAACCTAAATAAAAATACTCTAAAAAATACCAATTACTGAGGCACAATACTGCAGCTAGTCTAACAGCCTAATTAGCTTTAATTATAAATTACTTTAAAACACAAGATTGATTATTTTAACACAAACACATGTACCCAAAACACACTACATTCCAGATGGACCTGCACAGTTGATAACTGGTGAATCTATCAGAGTAAATCTTTCAAACCACATTTTATTTGTTTAATATATAGAGAGCAACCAATACCAAGCACAAATGCAGATACAGTACCTGCATATAAACTGAGAATGTAAGCAATGTAACGTAAGAAGAACGATAAAGCAGCGCCTTCCCATTGTTGGAAGTCAGACAAACCTAACATTTCAGTCCTTGCTGCAGGATCAAATGGAAGTGAAGTGGCAAAGCTGTGTGACTGTATAGCTGAGCTTGTACAGTAAATCACTTCTGGGAGTAATAACATAAAGATGAGCTGATAAAAATTAGGGGAATCATACATCTTGACACAGTGGAGGGAAGAAAGTGATGACTAAAGGAGGTAGAGTGAGGAAAGAAAGAGGAGGGAGGCACCAGCGGGTGAGCCTCCATCCCACAATTCTTCTGCGTGGCATGCCTCTTGCCACCTAGAGCCCATTCGTTCACATCCACATATGCCTGGAGTGTTCTTGAAACAATAACTGAATTTTTATATAGGATGGTCTGTGGAACAACACGTTTTGGAAAACCTATGAATACACAGCACTGATATAAACTGTACTCTGTAAAATACCACTAGGCTTCCAGCAAAAGCACTGTGCCCTGCTGAAACTAGGAGGGAAAGAAATGTTTTCCATATGTGCAGGGGGGCCATGTCTGCCATTTTTTCATCCATCTTCAAGTCTTCTCATTCGAACTCTGTATTTGTCTTCTTCAGCTTTAAACAAATTATAGACACAGTCATGTATTCCTTCCAAACACATCAGCGAGGACGAACACTAAGGGATTATGAAAACAAATAAAAACAAGTGAAAATCAGTGGCCCCTGCTTGCCGGCAGGGCCCAGGCTAAGCGTTCCGGGCTTGGGGCCCAGTGTTTCACTTAAGTGTAGGACCTCCTTGACTGATGATGTCAAGGGTCGGAGGTCAGGGAACCCTGGGTAGACACCTAATTCATTATATCCTCCACAGTCCTTTCTACAAGAGGACTCTCAGTTGGAGTGGGGCTGGAGCTCTGGGAGAAGATTCATCACCACAGAACAGCTGGAAAGAAAGAAGGATGGAAGCTGGATGCAGAGGCACGGCTGAAGCCTTTATGGAACAGCAATCAGTTTGGGCTCAACCTGTTAGGAGTCATGTGACCCAATGCATATTTATGAAACGTATAATGTAATTCTGCCATTTATCTTGTAAAGGTCAGTATCCTTAACAATTCAAGTGTTTTTTCGTGTTGTTTTAGTCACATGCAATTGGTTCAGACAGGCTTTTATATGTAAAGTTTTTGTTCATTCACTTGCTTTCCTCTTCTTCCTCTTTTTGAGAAGTTTAATCCCCTTTCTGCTGAGCCAGATATAACGTACAGAGGCAACTAAACAAGTTCTAACAAACAGAGACAACATAAATACTAAACCAATAAATCTAAAAGGGCTTTTATTCTTCCAACTTTTCAAATTAAGACAAATCCCATGAATTAATTAATTATAATTATTGTCATTATTTATTAACCTGAAGATTATTTTTTTCAACTGATTCATAAATTGTTTGGTCTATAAAATAGTTGACAAAGTAGGGGAAATTCCCATCACAAATTTCAGTCCCACCTTTAAATTTACTGTTTTGTCTGGATTTCAGTTCAAAACACAAATAAAATAAATGTACTATTACATTTGATAATGCATACAGCAGCAAAAATCTTCATCACTGGTTAAAAAATTATGAATTATTACGAATTCATTTTACCATATACCAAACTTTACAGGTCTATTTAAATTTATTCCTGTTCCTTGAGTTCACTATTTTCAATTCAGTCAACAAATGTTACCCACAAAGTTTATCGATTTTATATACTGCATACTCTTTTATTTAAGTCGTTGATTAGACACAATTAAATGAATCTGAAATTAACATTTCACACAAGTACATTTTCCACTATGTATGATCAGATATCCTGAGCAAATGAGAAAAGACCACATTTCAAACATTTCCATCAATACACTGAATTTTCATTTTCTGAAAATAATTCTTAAAAAGGCTATTACCATGAAACTTGTCACTGATAAAAGATAGTAAATATCAAGGCTCTAGGCAGATTACACAACAGTTTTGGAAACATTCTCGAGGGTGTAGAAGAGAAGGAGAAGTTAAGTGCAGCTGCAGCCTTAAATCAGTTCAGTTCACTCTATGGCGTTGACTTCATACACATGGAATGACAGTCTTTTTCCCAGCTTAACTCATTGTTAATACTATGTGACTGAAATCAAGTCATATCAATTCTTATTATATTTGTGTCATGAGCAACTTGTAGAGAAGCAAAAGTGTATCATGTATGTGTAATGTTCTGCACAGCAATAAGGATATTGAACCAAATCCAGTCCAACTAAACTAAAGGAGTCCCAGTACTGTTAATGTAGCTCTGGATTTACTAAGAGCAGTTAAATTAAAAACTAAAATGCTCACTCAGCTATGGCCCATTTACAGTTGTTTTCTATATTTCTCTATTTATGAGCTCTGTCCCTGTCAGATAAATCAATAATATTTTTTATTTATTTATAAAATCTAAATGTAATGTACATGTAATGTGGCAAGCCTTATCAAAATCCTTAATAATACCAAGACCAACAGCTTGTTTGCTGGTGTGGTCCCTACAGGCCCCAGGCAGGCAGTGCTTCAACATAAGGATCCAATCGTTTCCTTCTGTTTTTGTCCCGGCCCGCCATGATGTCATTGGCCACGAGGCAGCAAAGTGATGAGCTGAGAGTGATGGATATCTGTATAGGAAAATTTCCTTTTCCCAGCCAGCCTCTGTTCACATTAAAAGCCTTGCACATCATACATCAATACTGTCCCCCTGGCCAAGCTATACATCCCTGTACAAGTCAGTCCCATATGTGGAGGCACCGTCTTCCTCCTCGCCTGCTGAGTTGTGCTCTGCTTCACAGCCAGTCAAACGCAGAGAATTCAGAACATGTGCTCTGTCACCTTTTAGACATAGATCAGCATGTGAACTAATGGATGGGTGGGATTTTGCTGAAGAGAAGTCGAACTAAGAAGAAATTGAAGCTTAACACTGCATTTAATCTCCTCCATAAACTCCAGCTGAGAGGGTTTACAAGTGACTGTAAATCTGCTAGTGAAGCTGTCTTGGGGAAAAAATGAAGAGCAATCACTTCTCATCCCTATGGTGGGAAGAAGAAATAAAGGGATGGTGATAGGGAAGACAGAGAGAGGAGATGATTGTCAGTGGCTTCTTCCTGGAGTGTGGGTGATAGAAACTGACAGGGTGGAGAGAAAGAACAACGGTGTTAGCTGCTGTCTCCTGCTGTGCGAGGTTAAGGAAACAGTGGGTAGCATATGAGAATTTGACGCGCAAAGTCCTTTGTTTCTTATGACTGACAGAATATGTTGCAAGTTTCCATTTGATCTGTGTGTGAAGGAAGATTTACACACTGGGTCTTCAGTCCTTCCCCAGTGCTTGGACCTCTCCAGTCGTTCAATCAGTGTAACAGATGAACATGCCTCAGCCTTGAAATGATATTAAAATCACCTGGGACCTTAGGCTTTGAAGTCTGACAGCTGCCTGTGCTGTATTACAATGATATTATACAATTTATAATGATATAACTGATCATTTTGTTTCCTGGCACTCAACACTCAACCAACCTTTGCTCATAAATCAGATGATGAAAGGTTGGCGTAACAGAGAAACCAAAGGGAAGAAAGAAAAACACAAAAATGCACTGTGAGACTAACTCCACGTCTCTTCAATATTATCTTATTATCTATGACTTAATGAAGCACTGAACTTGACTTATTGGACTTAGGGTAAGTAACTAATTAGTATTACAGGAATACAGGACTGAATGTGCACGAGTCAGCGACTTGGGTTAAAATGACATGCTGTGTTTTCATTTCTGTTGCTTGTAAACTGTGCAGCCCATAAAATATATTCAAACCCTCCTGTCTTGTGCAAGTCCAAATACTGCTCCTCCCGAAAACCCCAAACCCAAAGAGTTAATAATTAACCATGAAAATAATTACAGGCTCTCGTTAATGGCTGGAAAATAAAACCTTAGACAGCAACAAAACAGAGAGCAAACATTTTGCTGAGATCAGATTGGATGTACAGCTGCATGCTGATATATGGCTGTGAAACCCTGGCCCTTCCAAACGCTCTAATTACTGTGCTGGGAATGGCTGCCTGTTGAGAAGAAACGCTTGGAAAAATGGCCCAGGACAAGTTGTTGGGCTGTAAATCATGTGGCATGTTTCACATGTGTGTTTCTGTTGGTTTTTCTATTATTGCATTTTGATAAAGGCCGCTGGCTAATCAGAATATAGCATGAATAGAACAGAAAAAAAGTTTCATTTGAAACAAGGAACAAAAGAACCTGCTACTTTTGACAGTGACTACCAAAGTGAACCGCTTGAACCTGACATGTAGTTACAAACAGACAAAATGTTACTGTTTGGAGGTTAAGGTAAAAAAAAAAAACTGCAACAATGTCAGTTAAAGTGACACTTGCGCACTGTGTGGTGCTTACCTGCCACAGTTTTATGCACATCACCATCCCCAGCTTAGCATCTGGTACCAGGGTGCAGACTGAGATCTTACAGGGCAGCTCAATAATCTTGATCTGCAGGGAAAACATGACAATTATATCTTAAAACTCACTACAGCTAGCTGAACCTGTTTACCTCCACTTTCTCCTGTACATCCATGCTAGCAGCTTTATGGGGCTGCATTCTGACACACAAGTGCTCTGAGTTAAATCCCAACAGCATGCTAACATGCTCACATTTAAAAATGCTAACATGCTGATAATAATGCTTACCACATCTGTCACCATAGTCTAGTATGCTAGCTAAATGCTAACATCTTCTAATTAGCACTGTATTTGTACTGGTATTTGATCATAAACTATTTTGATCACATCCATGCAGATTCTCAGTCATCCAGGTCATAGTAAGTTGAAAGAAAACTTAGGTCACATCACCTAAAAACCTAGTGCAGTTGATTTTTTTTTCAACTTCAATTTATTTTGATCACAAGTTAATTTGGACCTGAATATAGCTCTAAATGGCAAGTAGGAGGGTCAGTGATGACCAGGTTTTAGGATGAACTTACTCTACAAAATGAGCTGATCCTTCTAGCAGATGCTGATGTATTTAATTAGACAAGTGAAAACTCTGGCCACCTTTTTTTGGAAAATGCTTCCATTATATCCTAATTTATATCCAAGTGTTTTATTATAATGATAATATAATTATAAAGATTTTTTATTATTGAGACACAGTCACAAACACACACAAATTGCAGTGTTATGTGCATACAGTATGTAAACTCAGTGGGTCACTATGGTTCAGGACCTCCGTGGATCAGAGTGCCTTTAGTATATAACATCCATCAGTGCAGAGCAGCCGCCAAACCGTCTATAATAAATCCTGCTAAAGCTCGATCCAGTGACGTGAATGGTGTTTTCCAGCACACGTTGGCACTGATTCTGATAAAATACACAGCCTAATGAAGCCAGTGATAAAGTGTGTGTGTGCCTGTCTGTGTGCGTGTGTGTGTGTGTGTGTGTGTACCCACATCACTACCAAAACTCATTCCTTCAACCTCCTCTGTGCTGATGATCCACATATTCATCCTCATTAGACCTCAGATTAAACAGCCCTTTAAGGGAGCAATCTATATTTTAGCGCTAGGCCACATCTGTCCTGCATGTTTACCTCTGTGTGCCTGACGAAGAGGGTCTTTAAGGATTTCTCTGTGCCTCAGGTGATCACTGTTCTTGTGTGGCATCACACTACCCATAAATAAAACATCCACACTCTTAATGTTTCTGCCATGACAGCAAACTGCTGGCAGGAATCTCACTGTGAGCAGTAAACAGAAAAACCACCTGAGATAGCTCAGAAGGAAACTATCATCTGCTTTCTTGGTTATATATCTAAATATTGACCTGTGTGCATGTTTCTTATAGCACTAAATCATGCCATTGTGCAGGTTTTGTGACATGTGCATATGTATTGTTTCTTGAGGGGATTCATTATGTGGGTGTTTTGTTTGCAGATACATGATAAGCATCTGTCTTGGCCAGTTACGTCTGAGGAATTGGGCGGGGAGGAAAGGACAAAATCAGCTGTGGCCAGTTTTTGGTCTACCTTTTATGGTTATGGGTATGGGTATGGATGTGTGTGTGTGTGTGTGTGTGTGTGTGTGTGTGCGCGCGCATTTCTGTCTCTCCGTGTCTGGGACAATAGCATTATTGAGGCGCTGGGAGTCACAGGCGCCCTGATGCCTGGCCTGCTGGACTGGGGTTAGCAGAAGCACGTTTGGCTGGATCAGGTGACTGCTCTGTCCCTTTCAAGTGTGGCTCCTTCACAGTGAAACAAGTAATATGAATCTGGAGGCAATAAAAGATGGCTGAATCGGTGGCTGCCCTCTCACCATCCTGCTTCACTGCTCAGATAGTTGCTCCACACAAAACCCTACAGAGTTGTGGGTGCTGAACATTAACCATGAGTCAGACAAAACTGTATTCCAGTGCACAACCTAATTAGGCCTTGGGATCTAGTCAAAAATTAGAACAGCAAACAGTCAGAGGAGAATGATCTGTGCACATCTACAAGCACAATTAAACATGCATCATTAGGCCATTAGCTGCCTTAGGCAAAGTACTTACTGACTGGCATGTTATTAGCCACAGCCAAAATTAACCGACATTTAGCTGCTGGCTGGTATTAAGTTACCGTTTTTGAAATGTGCATGCTTACTCATGAGATGGAGGCTGGTTTGTTAATGGCGCTGTTTATATTGCAGTTTGACTGCTTCTGGCTGCTAACTACATGCTCACATATCACGCTGACTCATGACACATTTTCACTGACAATCAGCTAAAAATACTACAGTACATCGACCAACTGGCTGAACTCAACACATTACACATTCGTGGATCAGATCACATGTAAATGAGAGAACGAGAGAACAGCTCCTGCTGAGGGACTCAGTAAACAGCACTAAAAGCCACAAATATTTTCTGAACACATAAAGGTCTAATGAGCAAACTGGGAACAGCAAGTCGGGTCAGGTTCATACAGGCTGGCATTTTTTTACAGTCAAGTCAGACATTTTAACCATTTAACCATCCCACCTGCCAACCAATTCAGACGTTACCTCCTGCCAAACACAGAACATGTGCTGTGGATTAAATGGTGAATCAGCTCGGATGACAAACATACATACAACTAAGCATGTATTACTGTAATAATATTCACTATTACCACAACTGACGTTTGACAAATTCTGTGGGACATATTGAATCCATGAAACATGGATTATGTGTTCTGTGAATAGTCGAATTTAAGTTAAGTTAAAATCAACAGAGAATATAAGTTATGAAAGGTCCCGCCATCTATTTTCCATACCTATTTCTATTTTTTAGGACTGCATGGAGCTGGACGCTATCCCAACATACACTGTGTGAGAGGCAAGGAATGCTCAACAGGGTAGCACACACCAGCACCCAAACACATTCACACCCATAGACAACTTATAGTTTCCAATCATGACATCTGACCTCCTCTGTCTGTTGTCCAGCAAAGGCCAGCAGGAAGGTCCCGGGGCTCGTCTCCAGCAGGGAGCACTGACAAAATCCAACACTGCCGGTCCACACGGAGTCTACCACTTCACTGCGACCTTCACTCAGATCCCACAAACAGACTTGCATGTCCCGTCCCTGACTGCTCCACCAACAGAAAGAGGGAGAAATATTATACAGCAATGCTTGTATGTGTTTAGTAGGAAGCTAAACAAAATATGAAATCTTATCAGAAAGCTCAGACTAAGACAAATGCTATCCTCCTGACCTGATGAGGGTATCTGTCGACTGGAGTGTGCTGACCCAGATGACCGAGCTACCAGAATGACCTTCTACAATCTTCTCAGGCCTCCTGGTGTTCAGATTCCAGATATGGACAGCACCCTTCCCTGACCTGCAAAACCCAAAAGGATGCTTTATGTTGGCCATTTGTTTTTCATACAGTATATTTAACACTGGGGCAGCTGGGGCTCAGGAGGTAGAGTGGGTTGTTTCCTAACCGTTGGGTTGGCGGTTCAACGCCCGGCTTCTCCAGTCCATGTGTCAAAATGTCCTTGGGCAAGACACTGAACCCTAAGTTGCTCCTGGTGGCTGTGCCATCAGCGTGTGTGTGTTTGTATGAATGCTTGTTTGTGTGCATGGGTGAATGGAAAATAGCGTAAAGGGCTTTGAGTGTGCTTCATTGCATAGAAAAGCATTATGTAAGATCATTTACCAACATATAATTTGGTCTCATAAATACCAAAAAGGGTTAGACTGGCTCTTGTCCAAACTCAGAAATATCATTAAAACTGTTGGCATGTGGTGCTTTAACAGTGAGTCTTGAATCCTAATTGGGTAGCTTATCACACGCAATATAACTGACCTGTTGACATGCATCTTATGATGAACTTAATGAAGCACTGAATCAGTGCAATCTCCAAACACACTCATAACAAAAACAAATCTTTACTGTCTGAGGAAGACAAAGAGTCAGGATATATAAATTCTGAGATAAATGACTCACCCAGAAAACAGAAGAGGAGTGTCCCCTCCACGGCAGCTGAAGTGCAGGGTGTTGAGGGGCCCTCCGGCCCCCCTCAAGGTGAAAATGGGGGATGGAGGAGGACGAGACATCCCTGGGCGATGGAATCAAAGTATGGCTGCAAAAAGGTCACAATCCCATGTCATGACGCCCACTGAAAGAGACAACGGGAAAAGTGAGTGAAGAAATTGGTTACCTTGGAAAAGGCAGTTTTAGTATGAGTCAGTATTTCTCCAACATAAACTTTCAATAATGCTTTCTGCAGAAATGAATGTTCCATTAATATTAAGTGAATTTGACTCTTTAAGACAAACACAGTAAGATAAAAGTGTAGGGCTAACAGGGAAAAACAGCAGAAACCCAATCACCTCATTTTATGCACCAACACTGAGCAGACTGTCAGACAGCAGCTCCTCCCTTGCCTTGAAGCCTTTTGCTTCCAGACACCAGCCAGTAACATTTAATGCACCGTATTTTCTCTATTGTTAGTAGCTACAAACCCTGTGGCACTTTCTCTCCCTCAGTCTCACTCCTCCTAGCCTACATGACAACACCTCTCTTACTCAATACGTCATAAATCACAACCTGTGACAGCCTAATTACAGTAAACAGACGGAGACTCAGGCTCCTCACTCCTCTTGTGATCAACAGCCGTGATCCCAGAGGCAGGAGGAACCAGCTCAGACTTTTATTTTGTTTGTAAGCCAGGCCTCAGTGGAAACCCAACCAACCACAGGTATGCTGCAAGGAAATGTCAGCATGGAATTGCAATACAATTACATGCAACTGTCAGTGACTGGCTTCATCCATTTTCTAAACTGCTTATACAGTACTGCTCTGAGCCACAGGAGGTTTGATAAATACTCACTAAATTCAAATTTGACCTGGCATGCAAATGTTAGTATTTAGCTCAGTGCATACCTGTGTTAAGTGCAGCCTGAAAGAGCTGCTAGCACGACTGCAGACACTTGGTATTGTCATGAGTGGATTCCTGTTTGTTTGCACGGAGCACAGGTATGAGGGCACACATGCACATAGGCGACCTGACACATATTCCTTGTAAATCAACATTCCAATGCAGTGACACACAAACAAACATGCCAGCAAAGGCAAGAACTGTTTTAAGAAAAAGGAAACGCATTCAGAATGTTTTTCAGGCTTCAAAGATAAACAGCGCACGTGCATGTGTAACACTGACCCTGAACATAACTTCCTTACAAGAAAACTACACAGGACAATGTTAATCAGAAAGGCTCTAACAAAGTATGTGTAACAATATGCATGCATAAGCACAACCACACACCCCACCGACCACTCACCACATTCACAATCACCCCTCATCTACTTTTACTTATCACAAGCCTTGATGCCTGCAATCAGAAGATGCTGAAACTGGACCCTGAGGCATTCAGGAGGAGCTCAGTTCAGGAGGTTAGTGGTTAAATTGTCCATGTGAACCTGTGGAGCGGAGAGACAGACCCCTGACCAGCCTGTGTAATTAAGGACACTGCGCCACAGTGTAACTGGTTCACAGGGACACAGTCCGCTCCTAAGGTTTATTATCAGTGTACCACTATAGGGGGAGACACAGCATGATTGCATAATGGAGCAGGGGTTTTTTTATGCTCACAACAAAAAAGAGCCAACATCCCATCAAATACATAATATGACAAAAAACATCTGGTTCATATTTGGACTATATGGCTGTCTGCATAAGATATTGACCACATTTTGATGATGTAAAGCATTAGGAAACCTTTGACAAACAACTGCACCAACTTGTTTCTGTGTGGTATGAGGAAAACGGCAGACACTGTCAACAGGGCTTCTGTGAGGGTCAGTTAGGCCGCTCCTCCTGTGAGCGGGTGGGTAAGGCTGCATTCCGGAGCCAGAATCCTGTGTCTGTGTGAGTCAAGGGGAGGCGTGCCCTAATAACAGGTGGCTGAAGTGTCCCTTATTGTCCTCTTGCAGCAGGCCTGCTTGGAGTTGTGAGTCACAGCCACAGTGGTTTGAAACTGGCTATCTGCATTGTCTAAAATCCAGCAGCTGTAAAGCTTGCTACTGCTCGATGACTGCTCACTGTCAAAGACAATGGCTGGGGGCAGTTATAGAGACGTCCCTGTGCGGGGCTTAAGGACTCCAAACCAAACCTCCATCCAAAAGATGACTATAATGATCACTTTCCCCTGCCACTACTTCCTCAGTGGACTGTTCCTTCAGTTTTCTTTGCATCAACATTTCCATTAGCTGAATTGCCCGCAACAATGGCTTTGGTGTAGTGGCTGCAAGTGAGTCACCCACAAGCCCAAATACTAACTTGTAGGCAGCTCAGGAAGGGAAAGACAGACACTGCAAACAAACAGGACAGTGGCAGGATGTCACTCAGATCTATTTACATGGATCCTTAAACTGTTCCCTGCTAACAGAGAGAGGTGGCCAAACAAACAGTCAAGCCGGTTACTTATCAAGCTTGTACGTTTGACATCACAAAACACATTTTCTAGTGAACACAAAGACCTCTTGCTGAATAATGGTAGAAGGTAGCTGGGGTAGAGGTGAATCTCTGGTCAAAGATCCTCAAGGACAAGTAACATTTTCTCTTCAGATCTCCAAAAATCTCTACACCCTGCAGTTGTAATTAATCTAATAACCTTTCATAAAGTGACTGAGCAATAGAGAACAAATAGCCAGTAGGTGGATGAACTTTCTTATTAAACATGTCCACAGGAAAAATCTCAGAAATTGCAGCACAGGATAACTGGGTAGGCCTAATTAAACCTGTGTGTAATGGACAGGGCATAATAAATCAGAGTGACTGATTAATATACCTGAGCTGGATATGGGAGCCAGCGGGAAGAGGCAGGAGAGGAGGACTGAGGCTCCTGCAGGCCCTGTAACAGATAAGACAGCTCTGGGTAATCTGACTCTAAGTCCATGGATAAAGGCAGTTTGTCTCTTCTTGGGCCATCTGTCCACACCTACTGGGTAATTAGGCCTAATTATGAGAGAAAGGTCCGCTTCCCCTTCATGTTATTAAATAAGAGTCAGCCTCGTCCGCCAAGGATCTCTCAACACCAGCAAGGGGCTGGCGACCTTCAGATCAAATGCAGACACTATCTGTGTCCCCCCTCCACACACCTCAACTGCAGTACCCATTCCCCTCCCTGGAATCTGTGCACATATGAGGACTTGAGGCAGGAGGGGACAGAGAGGGCATTCGTTATGATATGGGCCATCAAAGTTTTTTCAGAGCAGAGGTTAGGGGGATTCCTGTCCACATTCCGCTCTTAGCTCTTTAGTGCTATCGGCAGCCACTCACCTGAGCTGCTCCGCTGTCAAATTCTGCCATTCATAAATAAGAGCACGGAGGGAGGGATATACTGATCACAGGGGTTTATTACAGAAGCTTTATAATGCTCCAGCTTCACAGGAGCCATTATGGGGGCATGGGATCCTAAGATCCCCTGCTGATATCAAATATGAGATCTGAGCTGCGTGCTGAAAACTGAAAGTAGCCTGCACACAGCCCAAAAGCTATATTCTAGACTGACCTTCCAATGAAAAGCCAATCAATAACTAATCAGTCAAACCAACAGTATTTCTTTTCTCTAACATCTTTACCAACTTCAAAAAAGCCCTGGAATCTGTCCACTGGTGCTACATCATACCTCAACTGTTAGTCATTTTCCTTTAATCACAGGCAATGATCTTATCTTCTGCTTCCTTGCTTTTCACCACATCACCAAGCAGGCACTTCCACCTTGGTGGTGAGCTGGCTCTGCAACCATTAGTCAGCCCTTCTACACTAACTTGGCCCCCAAATAATACAAGTCCTTTTGAGGAGGAAACCAATGTGCCAAATATAGAATGAGGTCCATTATAAAACTCCAGTTAGATAAACAACATAGGAAGTAGTGAGGAAGGCACACACCCTTTATTGTGTCTTGGTGGGGGTATCTGGACTGGATAAACAGCCCCAAGTCTGATAGAGGCTGAAGTAAGACACAAGTGCACCAACACCCACTGTCAGTCACAGATCCAAAGAGCGGGAAGAGGTGGCATTGTTCATGTGAATGGCGTGAATGCTAAGCAGGGGCCATTGCAGATAAGAGCTTAATGCCTTGTGGGTGTCAGTGAGGCAGGAACTGATGGAGCAATGTGTCAGAGAATCTTGATTTAGGAGGTCCTGACTGTGGTCAACAGGTACCAGGAGTCTTATCTGTTTGCATTATCACCCATTTCCTCCATGAGTTCATTTACCTGGCCACTAAAGGATAAAGGGACACAAGAGGGTTGACAGCTCCAGTGTCATCATACATCACTACACATTCTGGGTGTGGCTGCCTTCAGATCTATGGGGATTTTGTTGTCCACACAGCAAAAATATGAAAACAAATACATTTTCAATAAATGATCATGCAACAGAGGCTATAGAACATAGGAAACAACAAGAAGAACACAGCCCCTAGTATTATAAGTAAGTCATTTTCAGGTGAGTGGTGTGATGAGTGACAGCATTAAGATTTAAGCAATGAATGGTGAAAAGTTTGACAAGTGTGTAACTATGTGCACATGGACAACAACTTCCATGAGAACTCTCCTACCAAAGCTAAAAATCAGAAACTATAACAACTTTAATACAATTTCAACTAAAAGGACTTTGTAGAAAGCATACCTCCACCAAGGCTGTGCATTTAAATTGTCATCTGCCCTTTTTCAGTAACAGTAAGTTCAGAAGTTCAAAGAAAATAACTTCTCTTCTTCAAATTCTTTATCTTGCATTATCTAAAGTTAAGCCATACACCTCTTGGCTCCAAAATAAAGCAGTGGTACAGCTGCATGTCATCACCTTATTAATGAACAGTTACAACAAACCTCATTCAGAAATTCGTCAGTTTATGGAGCTTCAGTGACTGGCAGACAGTGAATCGCCTCACTTGGCTTCTGTAAATGGTGAGGAAAATCATATGAGCCTACTAAATCCACAAGCAGCACGTCATTTGCAACTACCATCACAAGGTTCGGTACAACTCTCAACTTCTACTGGAAGTTGACTTAGGATCAACGTGTTAGAAAAAAATCTGCTCTATTTACATATTTGTGCAGGTAATGTATTATTGCTTCACTGCTCTTGTTCTTACTTTACTATTAACTTTTAATTACACACTACTCTTAGGTAGACTGCCATTACAAGATCGATTTGATTTACATTACAGACAGAGAAGTGCTCAGTGGCTAAATGCTGCTTGCTGCTGCACTATGCAAACATAAGATAGGAGGTTTCAAAGGAATGAAAAACAAACGTAAAGGATGGAGGTTCGCAGAGTATTTTTGGATAAGCAATGCTTAGTTTGTCGCTAAACTGCAGGATTTCTGAATGAAATTTTAGTATGCTCGTGTCTCCATGCGACTCTAATGAATGTTACTTTCACAACAGCTTTCATTACCGAAGCCAAATTATGGCCTAAAGTATTAGTCTGAAAAAAGAAAACTTAACACTACAATCTGTATCTATGAGCACTTCGATTTAACTGGCAAGTCTAACTTAAATGAGTGATGTTATTCACAAGAATATTAGCAACAAGCTAGCAACTACCTCCAACAACATCTAACTTTAGCCTTATAAATAATTGTCGTTACATATTCAGGTGTTAACGCTGATTAAATAAACTCACTATAAGAAAACTGGCTTTAGCAAAACTTGGCAAAATACCATTTCAGTGAGAAACCGCTGCTTTGACAGTTGTCAAAAACTCTCAGGC